ATACGCCTAGAATTCAGTAGCAAATTTGTGGTGCAGTATTTACATTTTTTTTTTTTACTTTTTGTTGAGTCTGAGGAAATTGATATTGCATTTGTGTTTAGTTAGAACAAAAATTTTGATTAAATGAAGTAGATATGGACGATTGGATGCCAACTCAAAGCTGAATTCAGTTGGCTGGAATACCCACCAACAGTTTGACCAACAGAGTCATCTAGTGATTTAGACCTATCTTAAATTTTTTGAGACTTACAACCAAGCTGGCTTCACTCTTTTCTTTTCAATGGGAATGGGGAGTGGAAGTTTGTTAGCTTAGAACTTCAGAATTTAAAAAGGCGCATCTGAAAATTATTTGTTCCTAGAAGGAGTTGAAAGTTATCTTTTGCCAGTTATGAGTGTCATACAAAGGTATGCTTTCCTGTTTGGGTGACTCTTCTTGATGACAGATTCAAATGTAGTCCTAAGTCCTTTAGCATATTGTTACTTTGTTTCGGGTTCTTGGCATGTCCCCAAAAAGTTACTTTTGTCTTTTGGCATTTGATGCCTTGGAGACCAGCGAGTGTATATCTTACCCTTTTTTTTTCTTTATGTTTTTAATTCCTTCATCCTCTTTTGAGTCTATATTGGCGTGCATGCATGTTGTCTTTGTGGTGTGAATTAGGAAGACACATAATATGGGTTGGTAGGATGTAGGAGAAAATTCAGAATACAGGATTTGGTCATAAAATTTATGGTGACCACAAAAAGGAGGCACTACAGCAAAAACAGTAACCGTGATTTCGCTACCAAAAATAACAGTGATATACTTATTTATATACTCTATCAAGTGTCTCTGTTTGTTGAGTATAATTTATTGTGCTTCTAACAAGTGTCTCTGTTTTTACCTTTAACTTGTGCATTACGCAGAACTTTACACTAAAAGAATGTTTGACCTCCTGGTTTCTGCATATTCAACGATAAGCATACAAGATGCAGCGCTTTTCCTAGGAATGAACGAGGATGATGCTACAAACTGTAAGCTTCTTGCTTTTGTGTTTGGTTTATTGTAACATTTATTGCTTTTGATACATTTGGGATGCACCATACGGATTTGTGGAGTATACGAACTCCATTACTTTGTAAGGCATTGTATACCGTGTTGAGATGGTTGGGCTGTATAGTAGGTGCTTTTAGAGATAGTGAGTCCGTCTTTGCTGTTATGAGCAACTATGTCAGAAAGTGCTTTATAATCAGTATGTGGATATCTGCCTGGAAGCTGTGGAGTTGTTTGATCAAACAGCAGTGTCTGTAGTGGCTAATCTGCTGAACTCTTTTCTAGGCTAAGGTGGAATTTTGATGGAATATGGTTTCTTAGATCATAGGGATTATGGAGTAATTGAAAGCCTTTTAGTTTGTCCTGGTGTACATGGAAAGTTTCTGTTTTACTTTGATTAATATGCTGATTGCATTTTACCTCGTACTGGCAGTCTGGCACATGACCTTCGGAGGAACCTGGTGAATATCTGATTTGTAGATTTTGGGGATGTTACAACTTGATTTTGACAGACAATATGCTTGTTTTTGCATTACAATTGATAAAATTGTGCATCCTCAAATAACTTAAGATTTGCTGGTCAGAAGTCATATAAAAGATCGCTGACGCCAAAAATTAAGTGTTTTCATGTTACACTTTCTGCAAATTGGTGTTTACGTGCCTTGGTTCGATCATTCACTGTTTGCAATTATAACTAAGTCTTTGTGAGCCAGTGGGTAGAGGAGCATGTAGACATTCTTTGGTGAGAGATTGATCAAAATTATGTTCTGATGATGCGTTGTGTAGATGTGCTCCAACACGGTTGGATTGTTGATGCCAATTCTCGGATGCTGACTGTAAAGAGGCAGGCAGTTGCAGCAGAGCAGAAACTAGATCCCAGTAAATTGCAGCGCTTGACAGAATATGTCTTCCACCTTGAACACTGATTTCAACCGTCTAGAATCTGTCAGAGCACATCCTCCCGGTAGTTATCTCATTCCAATTGAGTTTACTGGAAGGTGTTTGGTGAAGAATGACAAGTCCTTGGTTTTTGTTTGCCAATACATAAAGGGTGTGACTAATATCTTGTTATTTTAACTCGGATGGTGTTGTTGAAGTCGATCTTGGGTTTTCTTGCAGATAGTGGTGAAGACCACTAAAGGGTGGGCCATAATTTTTGGGGGTGTTATCTTATATTTTTCTCAGCTACCTTGTGTCTTATCGTTGATTTTAGTAGATCTCTACCCTCTACAGATGGAGCTTTTGAAATGACCAGTTTGATCTTCATGTGCCAGAACGATGAATCCTTGAAATATTTGGCGGCCTGGTATAGAATATCAACCAAAAAAAAAAGAAGCACATTTTCATGATGGTGATGAAAGAGAGAGAACGACCAGGCAACTAGTACGTGATACATGTTTGGAAACGACGGAACTCTTAATTTGAAGCTTTTTGTTTGTGGCCTTGCGAGCGCTTTCTTGTTTTGGGCGAGCCATAGGCACAATTTAGGATTAGTTAGTTATTATTCAGAAAATTGTTAGTTTAAGCAATCAATTCATTTTCTTGAGCCGTGTCTTTTGATATTTTTATTTTATTTTATTGGTATGGTTGCGGTCATATTTTCTCTTTATTCTCTAGGAAAGTGCTTGAAAGAGATCATCAGGTGATTTTAAAGAAGAGTCAAATCCATGCCAGGTAATTGAGATGAATTCATACATCTTATCTTATCAAGGAAACCATCATGGAAGTGTTTGGGACGAAAGCAACCAGTCATGGGGAAGTAGATAATGCGTGCCTGCTTCTTGTCAGACCACCATTTTTTATTTACGTGAGAAATATTTATTTTGTTGTGAGAGAATAATAAGGAATTTACAGAAACATTTTTAATTTTGAAGTCAATAGTTGTGAGCTATATGCAATGAGCAAGAAATTGTATACTCCAATATTTCGTGGTATCACTTGTTGACCAAAATCAAATAGAGTACGTGCGATTAGATATTGACCAAAATGAGAGCTTCTCCATTATACCTTAACCTGACCATTAGAGCGACCATGGAACATCTAGAAAGAGTCTTCTCGTACCAACCCAACTGTAATGGTAGTTTATTTGACAATGAATTGACCCTTTACCGTCCAATGTTTACCTCAAACAAACAAAAGAAAAGTGTCGATCAAACATCTTATACCAGCTTCACTTTATTTCTTTCTCTCAATAATGAACATGAAGATAATGACATGATACACCCAACAGTGTCAGTAGTGTGTGCCAACAAGAAAAGCTCGTCATTTTTAAGGGTTCCAGGGCGGCATAAGCAACAAAAAAAATCTGAAGATGGAAAGTTGCATTATCAAGAAGAACTGAAGCCCAGAAGAGCTAATAAGTCATGTTATGCTCCTATGGACGAGGTTGATTGTAAAAGAAAAGATAATAAAAAGAACTGGCTAGCTAGAACTAGAAGACGACGAGATGAAAATTGAATTAGTTAATTTGTTTTTAATACACTAGCTAGTACTTGGGAACTTGGAAGGAAGGCGAGTCTATACTCTATGGACCATGGTACTCTAAAAAGAATCAGAAATTCAAAATCATTTGAAAGTTTGAATACAGCACCGCGATGGCCTGCATGGACTGGGGCCTCCAGCCAGCCTCTCACGGGCGACTGGACTTGAACATGGAACTTTGATATGGGACTCTCTCAAGATCATAAAATGCCTAAAACAACGTCTTAATTTGTATTCTTCAAACTCAGACGGACGGACAAATGCATCCTTTCAAGAATCTAATCCGGATAAGCAGACAACAATAATGATATTGGTCATTATTCCTTGATATCAAAGTAACTATTCCTTCCAACTTCATTCAAGCAAATTCTAGAATCGCCCGGAAAGAGCCCATGTTAAGTAAGTCATACGAATTTGGTTCAATGCTTGGTTCAATGCTTCAGAATTTGGTTCCATGCTTGAGGCATCTTGGAAATTGGCTTTTGATGTGTGCTTTTTTGCTTTAGAACTTAGTCTGAACCTTTACTGCTCCTTATTTGTCTATACTTGAACTCTTGCCGCATAGCTATAATGGTAGTTAAATTAAGGGATAATTTCAGAGCAATGTGGTACATGTTTACAAGCAAGCAGGTTAAAATCCCGCCTGCATAATAACACTGAAACCCGCAAGCGGGATTCTGTTTTTTTCTATTTCAAGGTTAGCTCGCATGCGGGTTAATGTTATATTTGAGCGCGAGAAGAAAAAATTGGTAATTAGGCTCTTTGGGCATTATAAGTAAATATTTAAATTAATGGCAGTTTTATTACACCAATATTATTGTATTATCATTATTATGATTATTGTATTATTTCTTATGCAAATATAACATTTAATTATTTAAATTTGATTTTATTTTTACAATTTATAAAATTTTTATCACTTATATAATATTTTTAAAACCCTAATACATCTAAATTTGATTTTATTTTTCAAATTTATAAGATTTTTATTTAAAAAAATGGGATACGGATAAGATATCCGGTTGGTTTGGTAAGTAATCATTTGAGTAGGAGTATAGACAGAGTTGAGTTTTAAGTCATGCCAGTTAAGCATCAGCTGCATGCATGCATATGATAAAACAGGAAATGGCCACAAAATCGCAACTTTTAGACAGCATGGATGTGTGTTCTGAGGTAGATAATAGAGAAAATCCACTACAAGTGAGACGGCCAAATGGGTAATAGTACTCTCAAATGTGAAGGCATTGTATTAGTCATGAAATGCCAGGCTGGAGAGTGCGGCTTCTATGCTGCTCATCATTCAGGTTCTAAGAGGAAAATAAATACTGAAAGGTAGCAGCAAACATGCTGCTTGACAGAGAAAATGAACGAGTACTAAGGGGCCTAGTGTTCAATGAGAACATTTTTAAGTAAATGAATAATTTTGAGTAAGGTATCAAATGGCTTCACAGAATATAAACAGGAATGTCTTCATCTAGATGTCAAAACAGAAACTCTAGAAAAATGACCTACAGAGTCAGCAGTTCAGATAAATCGGCGATGTCCCCAGGTACTTGACCACTCAAACCAACGCTCGCTAATGTTCTGCAAATTTGTATCAGCAAATCAAGTCTCAAAGGAATAAATGATTTACCAGTAAAAGATTCAAGGTGAAAGTTGAAAGAATTGTACATAGAGACGACGCGAGAATTGCTGCATCCAATCCCATCCCAACCACTCCCACATGGATCTGTTCCAACCCAATTTGGTGGTGCATTCTCCCATCCAGATTTGAGAGATTGCAGAGCAGCAACTGTATCGCAGATTCAGAGAACTTTTTTGTCTTATTGAAAAGTCGCAAGATAAGGCATTGACTTGCCAATGCCCATATGTCACGAAAAGAGTACTTGAATGAGGATTAAACCAGGTTCAAACCAAATTTCACAAGAACCAGGACCAAGCAATACTGGGTACTATGGGCAACTAAAATTTCCATTAGTAAGATAAGAACGAGTGCATTTTTCTTCTTTGATCTTTAATTCCCATCAGATAATCTAACCAGCAGCAATCCATAATAATCAGGACAGACGATTCAGCAAGCATTAATCATCTAGTTCTTACCTATAGAAGATCCGAAATCATGCAAACATTCCAAGATACAAAATTGGAAACCATATTAAGCAAAATTATAGTCAACTTGGGTAAGTCTGCTGCAGAAAAAAAAAAAAATGAACTCATTAAAAGCAGGACACGTTGATCTGTGTCATTAGACCTCCTATATATCTTTGCTTGGAGATGCAATTGAAGTGTCAAAGGAACATAGCTGAACGCAGCATGCTTGGGCTGATAATTATGAGGCTTCTAGCTGAAACTAAGGATGGTCAGTTTTAAGTAGTGTCGTACAGGAAACCTTTTGGCATTTCCGAACTGCCTCTCCTAGGTCCTTGATCAGGGGAATGGTGATCTTGATGACCATAGGAAAGGATGCCAATAATGCTGCGAAAGATCTCAAGGAATGAAATTTAGATAGTTATCTTGTTTCTTCGACTTCAATAACAAAAATTGCATGAACCTTCACAAACTTGAGCAATTAAAAGCCCAGTAATTCGGTTAATAGGTGAGAGAGCAGATTAATGCTCAGGGGGAAAAGAACCAGACAGATATAATCCAGAAAGGATGGATTTATCATTTTGGCCTCATAACCAAACTCAAGTATGGAAAAATCGTCCTCATTCACCAAGAAAAAAGAGGGATGAGAAAAAACAAGATCATCAATTGGAGCCACTGGACAGGAGCTCCCACAATACAGGAATGAAAATCATATTGTTAACATGATTGTTGCGGATGAGCATACTGGACACAAGAAGTAGACCAACTTACAATCCTGTGGATTTGTGATTGCTGCTACAACCAAAACTTGAATGAAGATAACCAGCAGATACGGCTGAATTCTTGCGAACATTGTGAGCAGAAATTCTCGCCAGGAGCAGCTAGACCATGAAGTTTACTACTACTCTTTAACCCGTTCCCTAACATAATCTACTAAAGGTGCAGTTGACTTTGACTTTCACTGCCGAAAGAGCTTCATGCATAAACAGATAAAACTTGCTGGCCTCTAGCTCATCCTGGAGAATCATACCTACTTGTCTTGATATTTTAAAATAGATATTTTATTTGTTCACGTCTAATCTACTTAGTAAGAAAACTATAACCCCAGCAAAGAAATAAATGGTCCAATAAGTAATCTAGAGTGCCCAATTGCATTTACACGGTTTTTTAAGAATTGTCACAGGTCAATACGCTTTTTTAAACCCCTTTAGATTCAGACGGACTTGAAAAGGTAAAAGACATTTCTATGAGAAGAGGTTAATGATTGGTTTAATTATTGACCTGCAAGTTGATAAAATCTTATCAGAAGGGTAAAGCCCTCCTCCTCCTCCTGGTTATGAAAGGGACATTTTTCTAAGGTTTTATCGCAGTTGGTGAGTCAAGTCCAGTTGAAACGTTCAAGTCAAGCCATCTCTGCTCGTAATTTACACTTTACACTCCACATGGAAAATGACATTAACAAGCCTGAGATTATCGTAGGCTTGAAATTTTCATGAGTGCAGAAACTGCAGATTAACACGAGACGTTGAATATTCAACATGGGTTTTTTATTTTTTGAGTTTTTCTGATTCACATTTCAGCATCAACCTTTTAGGCAAGGCAACGAAGAAACCGAATTTCAACTTTAGTACCTAAAGGCTAAATCCGTCCAAAAGGGCCTTCCCAAGTTGAAAGGTCTGTCCCCTTTTGATACTCTCCAACATAGCACATCCATTGGGACTCGTAGCCGTAAGTAGTGGGTTTTGGAGTGTTGAGTTTTGTCTTTTAAGAACTTCAACTGCCTGCCTGCCTGCGAAAAGGGTTTTTACCTATTGATATATTATTATTCTATCATCAACCTTTAAGGACCATAAAAAATCAAACGGCATTCAAAACTAGTGCTGCCTAAAGGCTACGTCCAGCCAAAACTGGGCTTCTAAAACTGCTGTCTTGTGATCCCAAAGTCCCACAGCAACTGGAGAGTGAAATGGGATTTTGGTGCTTGGCATAAACCTCAAATTGAATGGCTTCAACAACCTGTCTGTGTTGGTGGGACAGCCAGAATTTAGTTACAGAGATGCCAGTTGCCAAAGAGACCATGTCTCCACTGCTGTACCCATAAAACTTGGAAGTGCTTATCATTACAACAATAAAAACCAGTCACGCGTTTTGCAGACCAATTGATGCTAAAACCAGAGTGCTGCCAATTGTCAACCCCTTCTATTTTTTTTGTTAATTTATTCGTCTAGTTTTTAGAGGTCAACAAGAGATGCATTTTGTTTATTTGATTTCTTAGTTTTGGTATGCGATTATGTGAACAACACGGGAATGTATAATACAAACATTTTGACCTTAGACCCTAAACATTACAAAAATGAATACGCACATTGATGTTGTCCAAGACTTTTGTGGTCTGATTTTATGTTTTCTGTTGAATTCATTTCTTGATCCACAAATTCTTCCGTAAGAATCTATGCGTGAATTTGATATAAGCAGGTTTTGACACTGTCGGCTCATGCCTTTTGGGTTTGAAGGTCAATTGTTAGCTAAAAAGTTACTGTTCTTTCTTTTCTTTTTTTTTTGGTTGTTACATAAAGACCTTGAGAATGTCAATAGTTCAAGAGTTCTTACTCCCATACAACCTTGCCAAAAAAAGGAATGAAAATTGAAAAGCTGCTGATGTCAATTAAGTAAAAATGGAAGTCGACTAAGTAAGAATAACAGCCAATGAAGATGAAGACAAGACGGGGTCACATGTCCGAATGTTTGAAACACTGAAGGCTTCAACAGGTAAAAATATTACAAACAAATACTCATTTCAGCTTGGATAGGAGCGAGCATCCGATCCCAGCTGACCTCTAAAGAATTTCTGGATGCTTAGTGCAGATATTGTACAGCATCTAAACAATGTACTTGCATCTTCAAGCATGGACAAACAAACTATGTGATAAAACTAAGTTTGACTGAATGCAAGATCCCATGGCTCAAACTTTTAGATGTTCAAACCTTAAGAACCGGCTGCAACAGGCAAATATGTGAAAGAGGAACTTGGTTCCTCGAAAACATATGAAAATTATGCTATCGGTTCTTTTGGTGATGCTCTGTGTTGAAAGGTAAGGAGCCAATGCTGTAGTCAAAGTCTTTGCTTCCATAAGAATGCTGATCACTCATATCCGTTGAATCCTTGGAAATAAATGTAGTGACATCTGCTTCAGGGTTTTCTTTTAAACTAGCCAACTGCATGATATTCTCAATTTCTCTTACTACTTCACCCATTGTTGGTCGGTCAGCTCCAGATTCTTGGACACATCTCATTGCCAGATCAAGAAACTTCTCCAGACCCCCTAGTTTCCCTCCTGCAGCGATTTGTGGATCAAGAATCTCATGACTAAGAAATGCCTCTTTTGGATTATTGACTGCATCCTGAACCACTCTTACTATGTGTCTCCCTCGCTCAATTGGAGCTCTTGCAGTCATAAGTTCCAGCATCACAACTCCAAAGCTATATACATCACTTTTGTCTGTTAACTGTTGGGTCATGTAATACTCTGGATCCATGTATCCCTACACCAGACAAACATCTGCATTTTTAGTGTCAAAGTGAAGTTTGATTTGTTATACCTAAACTAGTTCTTAACATAAAGAGTTCACTTCATGGTAATATACTAACACTGACCAGTGTCCCTTTGACTTGAGTGCTGACATAACCCTTGTCTTCATCACTTAGAAGTTTTGATAGACCAAAATCGGCTACTTTTGCATTGAAGTGATCGTCCAACAAAATATTGTTTGACTTAACGTCCCTGTGTATGATGGGAGGACTGGCAAGCTCATGCAGGTAAGTCAAGCCTCTGGCAGCATCAAGGGCAATTCCAAGTCTCCTCATCCAGTCTAATTGCATTCCTGACTTCCCTGCAAGTATCAAATAAGATCATCTCAAATGTACCAAAGTCATCGGTTTTGCATTTCATGAATATAGCCTTATTAGCTTGCTTTAGAACTATACTTGGTAGAAAGAGAAGCTTCATGAGTCCTAAATTATGCACCTAAGAGTAGACCATGAAGGGCAGGCACTGATCACCAGATAAGGGACCAGAAAAAATAGTAACATTCATTTTCAAGGAAAACTGTATCAATGGTGGCAGTGTTTGGTCCAGGTTCATTAGAAGTCAAAAAAGTATGACAGGTAGAGTGTTACATCAAGGTTCCGCTCCAGTATAGACCATGAGGCTATCTGTCATGCTATCGTCGTGTCTTTTTCAAACATTGTGTTTTTAGGTATGCAAATATCAGCCTATCTGATTCGAATGAATTGAAAATTTTCCTCCCACCGTATGAAAGGAAGATGCATCCAACAGATTATCCTCCCATGCTTGATTGAGATCAATGATGGTAGAATGATTTACACCTCTCCAAAAGAAAAACAAACAATGTTCTTGAGATCTATTAACCAAAATAAGAACTATTACCTAAAAGACTTTCTCTGAGAGTACCGTTTGAAATATACTCATATACCAGCATTTGTTCGCCTTGGTCATAGCAGAATCCGACAAGGTTTACAACATTCTTATGGTGGATCCTTGACAGAAGTTCAATTTCTGTTTTGAATTCAAGAGCACCCTGCATTGATCCCTGTTGAGCTCGTTTAATGGCAACTACTTGCCCAGAAGGAAGCACTCCTTTATAAACCTGTTAATAGTATTAAAGTTAGGAGTGTAGAGAAATTTTAAGAACATAAGGATTAGCTTAGGAAATTCCTCAACGATGAAGAATACCAGAATTATGAAATCTTAATAAACTGATAAAAATTTCCACGTAACTATCAAAGTAAGTTGTTATTCAGAAAAAGAAAAAAAAATCTGAATCTTTTCAAATTGTATTTTCAGTAATATATTTTAAATATCACCGATAACATCTGATTTTATCCCTTTTAAGGGGAAGTAAATTAATAACATACAGCTAAAGATTTTCTCAACAGCAGTTCTTTTTCAACCTTTGTGGTCAAATTGACTTGTGAAATTCGATCAGTATATACTGACACTAGATCTTAAAAGAGTGCTACGAGATCAGAGTTGAATTAGCGCATCAGATACATTTTGGTTGTTGATAATTTTGCTTGGCTATTGAACCATAAAGCAATCTTTTAAGCATATTAATAATGTTTGTAAAATTAAGGGATGGATGACAATCAAATTTCTAATGATTAAGAAGCACTATACCTATGTAGATTTCATTGCACTTTCTTGTGCTTATAATTGCGTAGTCACTTTTAGGATCAAAAGGGTGTCTAGTTTGGTTTTGGGGTGCATTCCGCTAGTAACTTTCAAATGACATGGTCAAGCACAATTAAGCTGTAACATGCAAACCTTCCCGTAGCCCCCACAGCCAATGCAGTTGGATTCTGAAAAGTTATTAGCACATTTCCTGAGCTCTTCGAATGTAAGCCATCTTGCTCCCTTGAGCTGTGGAACACCACCATGTCCTTGATCAGGGTTCCAAGATGCTGCACCAAAGTGGCACATGAGAAGCAGATAGAACACTGATTTGCAAAGAGATTTTCCTTCTTCAAAGGAGAGTGATCTTACCAAAAGGATTATTCTTCATTTCCTCTCTTCTTGCTCTCTTCCTACTGTAGGCATAAAATCCACCAGCCAGTATCAGCATAAAAAGCACTGCACCACCTACTGATCCTCCAGCAATGGCGCCAGTATGTGACGAATTTTTCTCTCCTGAAAATAGAGCACAGGCAGATTGGTAAGTACCATACTGTGCCTTTATGCACATACGCATACAGAAAAATGCAATCTGAAGTTCTATAAACAAGGCCAATAAGGTTTCTGCAACTTGTGTGATAGATAGATATTTACCTGCATAACAACAATAGCTTTCCTCAAGAAAGAATAAGGGACCAAAGTACTGGAGCTGAAAAGTTTGGCGGTTGAGCAGGAAACCAATTGTAGAAATGGCTGTTCGGTTGAAAGGATCTTGGCCTGAAGGAAATATTTGCACCCTGAATTGGAGGTAAGAATAAACATCGATTGATGGGTTACTTACGTTGACTGAATCAACAGGGACTCCGTTGGCCTTCAAAGCAGATATCAGAGACCCAGCAAGTGTTCTGTAGTAAGTAGTGTTTTGTAAATCT